CTCATGGGGGGCGGATGTTATAGACAGCGGGAAGAGGGGTTCTGAGTTCCTGGCAACTCTTAGAGTTTGGGAGATTAAGGCTTCTGTGTAATAGGATCATCAGTCCATTAACCTCCTGCTGGGTGGTTAGGGAGGAGAGGATTTGAGAGCTGTTCAGAGTCCTCATTAAGGGAAATCGCTGACAGACTTATCTGGCCAGTCTTCTAGCTGAAGACCTTCCCTTGGGAATAGGAAAAGTGACTTACTTTTTATCAGCATGAGTCGCTAATGCGATTGTTCCCTTGAGTGGGGACTCAGAGGTGTGCTCTGAAATTCTCATCCCTGTTCTCTAACCTGGTTTCTCCATACATAAGCCCAACCTTCCAGTTAGAGGTGTTTTTCAAAGGTAATTAAAAGATACACATGTTGCCTTTCCGGCAGTGACAGCCTCCCCAGAGAACATGCCTCTGGGCAAAGGATCTCCTTCATCCCTTTCCAGAAGAGGAGACTCAAGAAGCACCTGGTGCAGAACCCCAATTCCTCTTTCATGGATGTGAAATGCCCAGGAGGCTATCAAATTTGTGGCTGTGCACAAACTATTATGCCAGCGGTTGGGAGGAAAAGCCAGGCTTACAGAAGGGTGCTCCCTCGGATGGAAGCAGCGCTAAATGCACCCTGAATCAAGATGAACGGGAACCCATCGCAATAGCCACATTTTGGGATTAAAAAAAAAAGCATGTTAGCACAGACCACACTGATCTGTGCTTTTTAAAAATTAACGTTATGTTTTAGAGATCTTTCCATAGGAACTTCCTCATCTTATACAGCTTCTTAATGGCTGCATAGTGTCGGCCGCATAGTATTGACGGTATAACACAAAGTTAATCTCTTACTGATAGACATTTAACTTGTCTGGATTTCTGCTACTACAGTCAATAGTTGTTCATTTCCTTCCAGTCTTTTTTCTGTACTTATGAACACAGCGCTACATTCTCTTTCCTTTGTAGCATAAAACCTTCCCTAGATAGTTTTTAAAAACCCCTACTGGGCCTCCCCAGTGGCGCAGCGGTTGAGCGCTGGGTTGCGAAGCTGCCCGAAGCCTCCGCGGCGCCAGTTCGATCCCCGGCTGCTCCCTGGTCACCGGAGGAGGGTCCCGTGTGGCGCATAGACCTCTCCTGCCGCCCGCTGCTCCTCTCAGCAGTGTACTTTGGTCCTTCTGCCTGCTCTGCTCCCCACTCTGGCTCTGGGGAATTCTCTCACCCTCCTGTTCTTCTGACTGTACCCAGTGCTTGTCTAAATAAATAAATAAATCTTTTTTTTAAGTAATAATAAAATTAAAAAATAAATAAAAACCCCTACTGTAAATATTTTGTATAGCTGTGTAAATTATCCATGGAGTATGTGCCTTATATGAAGATGATTTAACCTTTGCCACATATCTTTCAAATGTCCTCAGAGGATGACGCCAGAAAGCTGTGTGCTGCAGGTGCAGGACAGCCTCCCTGGATTCTCGCTGCCCCTGGGACCCTCTGGAACCGAATTAGACCTGCCTCTTCCCCCTCCCCACTGGCCAAGCATGTCACAACCCAAGACTCCTCAGTGGGGATGTCGTCAAGGAAGCAGGGCTGGTTTCCAAGCAATCTTCTCTTTCTCAGGGCACATTCCAGCCCTCCACAAAGGTTCCTGCCTCGGTGCATGAGCTCCTGGGGCTGTGGGGAGCTGAAGGAGTGCTGTCTGCTTTACAGTCCCCTCTGCCCTCTTCCATTCACCAGCTCTGACCCCAAAGAATAGGTTAATTCATCTAGGTTAGTTTTGCCTGGTTTTAAACTTCATGTCCATGGAATCATACCTGCCGCCTCCCTTGTATCTGGCCTCTGTCAGTCAACCTTATGTCTGTAAGATTCACCCATGTTGTCACCTGTCCTTGGAGTTGATTCCTCATGCTGTCTGTGAAGTCTAGCACCGTGTTCTGTTCCTTCTAGCTGGATGGACGTTTGGACTGTTTCCAGTTTCTAGCTGTTACCGACAAGTGCTACTGTGGGCATCATAGCCCCATGTCTTTTGGTGACCGTTTTGATTGGATCTGTGCCTGCAAGTGGGGTTGCTGTGTCTTGGGGAATGTGTATATTTCGTTTCAGTAAATGCTGCCAAATGGTTTTCCAAAGTGACTGCCCCATTTTACACTGTTGTGGCTGACTTTACTTTTATTTTTTAAGGTTTATTTTTATTTATTTATGCATACAAGAACTGGGTGTAGGCCAGAGATGCAGGGGGTGAGAGGATTCACCAAAGACAGAGTGGGGAGCGGAATAGGCAGATCAACTGAAATACACTGCTGAGGGGAGCAGTGGGCGAGTCAGGCGAGGTCTGCTGGGCCATGTGGGTATCTCCCTGGCCGGGGATTGAAGTCATGCTGCAGAGGCTGGTGATAGCTTGATAACGCTGAGACTTTAACCGCTGTGCCACCAGGAAGGCCCCTATTTACTCGTCTCTTGGTGGACCCTTGAACTGTTTCCGTCTTTTGTCTATTGTGAATAATGATGCTATGAAAAATCGTGACCAGGCACACATTTGGGTACACGTGTGGGAGTGGAATCACTGGGTCCCGCGGCAGTAATACGTTTAACGTTCAAAGAAACAACACAACACCCACCACCATCCACTATAAGCCCCCTACCCTTGCTCTCACCCCTCCCTCTTCACCTCTGGTAGTCTCACTGCAGTTTTCATTACTCACAAGTTTATCTTAATTTGTCTGTTTATCCATTTAATTGGTGTGTCTTTCTCCAGTCCCCTGCCAGTGGGCACTTCGCTTGCTTCTGTATCTTAGCTACTGTAAAGAATACTGCAGTAAGCACTGTATCGCGTAGAACTTTTCAGGTGGATGGTTTCATCTTCTTCGGATAGATGTCTGACTTTCAAGAAACCTCCAGACTTTCTCTCTACAGCTGCATCATTTTATTTATTTATTTATTTTTTTATAGAGGCATGTTTTATTTATTTGTTTGTTTGTTTTGTTTATACATGCACTGGGTAAAGTCAGAAGCGCGGGAGGGTGAGAGAATTCACCAGTGCCAGAGTGGGGAGCAGAACAGGCAGAAGGACCGAAGTACACTGCTGAGGGGAGCAGCGGGCGGCAGGAGAGGTCTGCGCGCCATGTGGGACCCTCCTCCGGTGGCCGAGGAGCAGCCGGGGATCGAACCGGCGCCGCAGAGGCTGCGGGCAGCTTCGCAACCCAGCGCTCAACCGCTGCGCCACCGGGGAGGCCCCAGCTGCATCATTTTACATTGCCACCAGCCGTGCAAGGAGCTTTCTCACATTCCTGCTAACACTTGTTATTGTCCTTTTTTAAAAAAGCCGTCAGCCCGGGCCTCCCCAGTGGCGCAGCGGTTGAGCGCTGGGTTACGAAGCTGCCCGCGGCCTCTGCGGCGCCGGTTCGATCCCCGGCTGCTCCTGGCCACCGGAGGAGGATCCCACATGGCGCGCAGACATCTCCTGCCGCCCGCTGCTCCCCTCAGCAGTGTACTTCGGTCCTTCTGCCTGCTCTGCTCCCCGCTTTGGCTCTGGTGAATTCTCTCACCCTCCCGCGCTTCTGACTGTACCCAGTGCTTGTATAAACAAAAAACAAGCAAAGAAAGAAAGAAAGAAACATGCCTCTATTAAAAAAAAAAAAAAAAAAAGCCATCAGCCCAAGAGGGTGTGAAGTGGCATGTCATTGTGAGTTTAAGGAAGCAGGGCTGAAGATTCCCTAATGCCTGGCGACACTGAACATTCTCACGTAGGTGATTGACTCTTGTCAATAATTGGGTTGATCGCCTTTTGTGGTTGAGATTTAGGAGTTCTCTATATATTCTGGTTATTAATCCTTTGAAATTCTACTTTTAAGACTATAGGACAATTTTGTTTAAAAAGGACAGTTAGGGGACCTTACCCCAACATTTCCATCACACACCACCATCCTGGTTGTGTTCAGTCAAACGAGGGGCCCGGGCAGAGTGCGGTGCTGATGGACCCTGGTGTGGCCTCGGCCTCTTTCCCTGATTTCATGATTTGGCCACCAGGAAGGGGGCCGCTGTGAACACTCTAGCGTGTGTCTTGGAGTTGGCACACCTGGCCTCTGAACCTGTTTACTCATCTTTGAAAGGGGACTAATACCTACCTTGGTAGTTGTAAAGGATGAAATGCACCTGGTCTCTGGCTTGGTGAATGGTAGTTATTAATTCAGAGCTCCTGTATAAAGGGTGGCCAAGCAGCAAGCATTCAGAAAAGCATGACAGGGCCTCCCCGGTGGCGCAGCGGTTGAGCGCTGGGTTGCGAAGCTGCCCGCGGCCTCTGTAGCGCCGGTTCGATCCCCGGCTGCTCCCTGGCCACCAGAGGAGGGTCCCACATGGCGCGCAGACCTCTCCTGCCGCCCGCTGCTCCCCTCAGCAGTGTACTTCGGTCCCTCTGCCTGCTCTGCTCCCCGCTCTGGCTCTGGTGAATTCTCTCACCCTCCCGCGCTTCTGACTGTACCCAGTGCTTGTATAAACAAAACAAACAAACAAATAAATGAATAAATAAATAAAACATGCCTGTATTAAAAAAAAAAAAAAAACAGAAAAGCATGACAAACTGGAACAACCAGAGGTCGTCCAGCGTGATCTGTGTGGGCGACCGTGTAGCCGGTACTTACTACGGTGGTGTGAACGCATGCCCTTCAAAATCCTGAAAGCCTGCCTCTAGCTGTGACCTTGGCTCAGCCTCTGAGGCCACCTGGGACTAATGTCTATGATCTTGGCTCTCTGACCTTAAGAACAAAGAAAGTGGCTTGGCCTACAAACTGACTATGAAGCACTCTCCCTCAAACTTGGAATCCCCCCCTGAAACTTGTGGCCACACTGCTCTTCAGAGGCAGTAACCCCCAGTGCAGTGGCTTGACAGCACCCATCATCCAGTCAGGGGACTCTTGGTGGGTTGTTTCCCCTGGGCTCACTTCAAAAAGTCCCCTCCTCCTCAGTGCTCTCCCTTTCTCTTCCCTGCAGTATTGTTCATGGATTGCCCTGGACAAGAGGCCGCCCTGCAGGGAGCCAAGGACCACTTCCCTGTGCTGAGCGACGGAACAGTACAGGTAAAGCACTAGATTGGGAGGAAGCTGAGTCACCCTTCAGTGGGGCCTTAGCCCTGAACTGCCCACAACTGTGGTCACACTCATCTGGAGAGGGCAGTGCTTGCAACCACCCAGCAGGGGTGCCAGAGAGCCAGGCCAGTGGGCAGAGAGCTGCCCAGTGAGTAATGACCATGCCCTTCGTCCCTGGGATTCCTTGGTCCCCCACCCTGTCCTTTCCCTTGTCATGCTGGTAACTCCCAAGTGAAGGTGGTTCTAACACAAGACTGCCAGTCCCAGTCACGCTGCTTTGTTTCTCTCATTCTTTTTCTAAACATTTATTTATTTTTGCATACAAAAGCTGGGGCGTAGGCCAGAGGTGCCCGGAGCGGGGTGGGTGAGAGGCTTCAACAAAGACAGAGTGGGGAGCAGAACAGGTGGATCTACTGAAATACACTGCTGAGGGGAGCAGCGGGCAAGATAGGAGAGGTCTGCACCGTGTGCTCCCTGGCTGGGATTGAACTCCTGCTGCAGTGGCTGCTGACAGCTTCATAGTGCTGAGATTTAACCCCTCGAGCCACCAGGGAGGCCCTCTTTATTTTATTTTATTTTATTTTTTTGATTTATACAAAAGCCGGGGTACAGGCCAGATGTGCGGGAGGGTGAGAGGATTCACCAGAGACAAAGCAGGGAACAGAACAGGCAGACTGATAAAATGCACTGCTGAGGGAAGCAGCAGGCGAGACGAGAGGCCTGCTCACCATGTGGGCTACTCTGAGGCTGGTGGGGTTTGAACCGGCACTGCAGAGGCTGCATACAGCCCCACAGCACTGCGCTCAACCGCCTGCGCCACCAGGGAGGCCCCTCTTTAATATTTTGAATAGTTGTTACATCCACATGGTTCAAAGATTAAAAATATTAAAATGTTACACAATGAATAATCTTCCCTTGTTTCTCCCCATTGTCTGTCCTCTCCACCCCTCTAAGAAACCGTTAACCAGCTTCCTTCCATAGTTTGTGTGAATATACACTTGTGTTATAAATGACATTTTATATATATGTGTGTATTTTACATATATTATTATCTGTAAAAGTTATTTACATTTGCACCTTCTTTTTGCACTTTAAATTTTATTATATCTGTACAATGCCTCCTCTTCCCCGCAGATAATAAGTGTTATTAGTTTCTTCTGTATCTCCTAGACTTTGTCTTTGTTTTTTTTTGGTTTTTGGTTTTTTTTTTAAGATTGATTTATTTATGCATACAAGACCTGGAGTATAGGCCAGAGGTGTGGGGGGTGAGAGGATTCACCAGAGACAGAGTGGGGAACAGAACAGGCAGACGGACTGAAATACACTGCTGAGGGGAGCAGCGGGCAAGACAGGAGAGGTCTGCTGCGCCATGTAGGTTGCTCCCTGGCTGGCCGGGGATCGAACTTGTGCTACAGAGGCTGCAGATTGCTTCATAGTGTGGTGTTTAACCCCTTGCGCCACCAGGGAGGCCCTAGACTTTGTATTTGTACAAGCAAATATAGTATATGGTCTTATTGTCCTATCCTTTTACATTAAAAGCAGAACAGTGCCTGGCATGTATTGACCATGACGTGCGTTAAATAAAACACCCAACTATGTATTAAGCTATTATGTACCTTGGTCTTCTCATGCAATAGAATATAGCAAAGATCTTCCCATATCAGTACAAAGAGAGCTTCCTCATTTTCAGAGCCGTGTGCTATTCCACCAGGTGGATGTACTGTAGCACGTTTACTTAATCCTCCTTGATAAGTGAACATGTAGAGCATTTCTAAGTTTCCTTTTGCAATAGACCCATGTTCTCTCTCTTCACCCTTAACTCCTGCAGGTGAGAGGATGTTGTTGAGTGTGTTCCAGCTCTTTGCACATCTGGGTTAAGAGACTTTCTCTCCTTGCAGGAAAGAAAGGCTTTGGCAATCTCTCCATTCAAACGTATCTTACGAAGACGCAAGAGAGAATGGGTGGTACCGCCAATATCTGTCCCTGAAAATGGCAAGGGCCCCTTCCCTCAGAAGCTGAATCAGGTATATCTGTGCCTTCTCCCTGGAGTTCTTGGGCGTTCCAGGGACCCTCATTCAAAGGCCCAAATATGAGGTTTCTTCCTAATGAGCACTGGGACTGCAGAGGAAGCCTTTATAGTGGAAGCAGGTTCTGATAGACCAGACCTTGTCCCCCTCCCTGTGGAAGAGTTTGCTGCGATTGTGAGATGTTTGACACTTTGTCAGCTGCCATCTTTTTTGCTTTCAGCTGAAATCTAACAAGGACAGAGGTACCAAGATTTTCTACAGCATCACGGGGCCTGGGGCAGACAGCCCCCCTGAGGGGGTCTTCACTATAGAGAAGGAAACAGGCTGGTTGTTGTTGAATAAGCCCCTGGACCGGGAGCAGATTGCCAAGTATGAGGCACGTATCCAACAAGCAGGACTCCAGGACCTGGCGGGGGGGTGGGGGAGGGTTGCATCAGGCTGACCCCAGACCTGTGTGCCCACAGCTCTATGGCCACGCCGTGTCAGAGAATGGGGCCTCTGTGGAAGAGCCCATGAACATCTCCATCATTGTGACAGACCAGAATGACCATAAGCCCAAGTTCACCCAGGACGTCTTCAGAGGGAGTGTCCTGGAGGGCGTATTACCTGGTAAGAGTCCTGGGGAGGGCCTGTTACAGATCTGCTGGGTGTAGACCTGGCCTTGGATCAACTTCTGGAATCACCCAGAGGTCAGCCCACACCCTTAAAAGCTGGAAAACACTCCACTTCTGATCTCCTTGGCTAGGTATCACCTGCAGTCTCCTTCCCCACTCCATCCCAAGGTTCCTGAGTCAGATTCAGTAGAGGTCTGGAATCTGAATACTTGACACTTTCTGAAAGTTTTAGCTAGTTGGCCTGACTTGGGCACCCCGCTTACCCTGCAGCTGCAAAGACCTACATTTGAATTTTGCCTCCTTACCTGCTGCAACCCTGGGCAAGTTCTTGACCTCTGAGCCTCCATCTTCTCTGAGAAGGAGTTGTGAAAAATTAGAAGCAGCACAGCATGCTATTATGTAAGATGAGGCTCCCCCACACGAGGTTTCCTACGAATGGGGAACAGAAAGTAAATTGCCGGAACTGGGAGAAAGGGCGGGAGGGGGCCTGTGGAAGGCTAGGGAGGTAGCTGCGTATTAATGCCCTCGAAGACAGGTGGCCCAGGCTGCACTGGGAAGGGGCTGCCTTCTCCTATGTGTTGTGGAGAATTACAGAGACGTGTGACATTCAGATTCCCAAGAGGAAAGCAGTGCTTTAAATGAGATGGGATCTTTTTGTCCTTACATTCAAGAGGCTTGAGATGCCCAAGCCGGGCTGGAATGGTGCTTGGAAGCGTCGTAGACCTGGTCCTTGTATCTTGCTGCTTGTCCCGAGGTTCCCTCATGTCATTGCTAGTGCTCCAGCCCTTAGATCTGGTAGCCCATTGGTCAGAATTTAGCCTCATGGCCACAGCTCGCTGCAAGAAGGAATGGGAAATAACTTTAGTTCCAAGTGGGCCTTTGTTCCGCCTGAAATGACTAGGATTATGTTCCTAAGAAAGCAGGGAGAAAGGACACTGGGCACCGACTGGTCACCAGCATCACAAAGTGAAAGGGGTCAGAGCTGGTGAGTGGGGTGGAGGCACTCAAAGCTCCGGGAGTCGCCCAGGCTGCCCTGGGAGCTCACGTCGCCCCTCTACCCCCTCCCCGCTCTCCAGGCACTTCTGTGATGCAGGTGACAGCCACGGATGAGGACGATGCTGTCAACACCTACAACGGGGTGGTTGCTTACTCCATCCACAGTCAGGAGCCGAAGGAACCGCACGACCTCATGTTCACAGTTCATCGGAGCACAGGCACCATCAGTGTCATCTCCAGCGGCCTCGACCGAGAGGTGAGTGGCACTTGGGGGGAGCATTGCCTAATAGGTTTGCCCGGACTGGGGCCTGACGCTCAGAGCAGAGCAAAAGCCCCTGTCTCCACCCCATAGCCCCAGGGGAGCATTGTGATCTCAAGTCAGCTGGGACTGGTGGCAACTCCCTCCCAAGTCATGAGTCATGTTGCCGCGCGCACAGCTCCCTTGGACCCGCGGCCGCTGCCAAACGATCTCGTTCAGCTGGGGAGGCAGCCATAAAATGCAGACGTTTGATATTTCCCGTAGCTTTCCTCATTTCCTCTTGGAATGGCTCACTTAGCACGCACATTGCCCAGATCTGTCCCTTGTGAGCCACAAAGTAGAAGTAGCTCCGTGGATATTAGAGTTGCTGCCTGTCTCCTAATTAATACCTTCACCCAAATCCCCTCAGGAAGCTCCCGTTCTGGGTCAGTCCGGGGTGGGGTGCGGTCAATGCCTGGACTTGCCCACACCCCAAGAGAACTGTCTGAACCTGCAGACCACCCTCTGCCCCTCTTGCTTCTGTTCTTGTGGTGGCGGGTGAGCAGTGGGGTCGAGGCAAGAAACATTCCTGTCCCTCCACTCACACCCAAGTTGTGCCTGAGAGCCCAGGCTGAGGGACCTTCAGACCAGACCCACCGAGGCCTCACACTTGCCTTTCTCTGCAGAGAGTCCCTGAGTACACGCTGACCGTCCAGGCTACAGACATGGACGGGGACGGCTCCACCACCACAGCAGTGGCCATCGTGGAAATCCTCGATGCCAACGACAATGCTCCTGTGTTTGACCCCCAGAAGGTAATGCTCCCCTCCCCTCGTCGGATATGAAGGGCTAATGCCCCCCTCCCCTCGTCAGATTTGAAGGGCTAAGGTATTTCCTTTCTGAGACTCAAACCGGCCTGTCTTGCTCAAGCCCCACATCTGCCACTTCCTAGCTGTGTGGCCGTAGGCACACACCTAACCGCTGTGTCCCCTTTCCTTCCTAGAGACGGAGATGATTGTTACCACTGCTTTTTGTGCTGACTTTTAATTTAAAAAGAAAAAAAATCTGTGTCCACATAAGATAAGAAAGTCTTTGTTTGGTATGAAAAGTTCAACACCGTCAGGGCCACGGTGACGCCCCCCGCCCCTTGTTCTTCAGATGGCGCGGACTGTTGTGGCGCATTACTCGGGGGTTTATTCTGAGTAGTTGATTTCCCATCCTTGCTACCTGTTGCAGGACTGCCACAAAAGTCCCTGATGATGGCCCAGAGTGGTCAGCACCTGGCCCCTCTGCCACCTTCCTTAGACCTTCCCCATCGCAGCCAGCTGGTGGTCACCCATGACGAGGGCGAGGGCACCAGACGGGCGGGCCTCTGGCTGTTTAGAAAGGCCCAAGAGCAGTGTGACCTGTCCCAGCAGCCGTGTGGCTGATTGTCGGGCCTTCCTGCCCCCGAGTATACCCTGAAATCCTGAGAAGTGGATTAGCAGGTCCTGGAAATGGAAGGGGCTCGGACTTGCCTGGGGAGCGGGTCCCCAGTTGCTGAAGAGCCATGTCTCTGGCCAGCCTGTCTCCCTGCTCTGAGTGTGCTGTGCTTCCCCCCACACCGACAGTATGAGGCCCATGTGCCTGAGAATGAGGTGGGCCATGAGGTGCAGAGGCTGACGGTGACCGACCTGGATGTGTCCGACTCACCGGCCTGGCGCGCCACCTACCGCATTGTGGGAGGCGACAACGAGGACCGTTTTGCCATCAGCACCCACCCTGAGAGCAACCAGGGTGTCCTGACAACCAGGAAGGTCAGTTGGCTTGGGCGTCAGGCAAGGGCATTCTTGGGCAGTAAAGTCTACAGCCTCCAGGATAAGGAGGTTCCGCCTGCCTTGGGCCATTCGCCAGGGATGCGCCAGGCCTGTACCTTCCAACCTCGTCCTTCCCTCTCGCGCAGGGAAAGCCCTCCATGCAGAGGCATCTCACCCCCAAGGCCAACTGGAAAAACAGAAGAGTCACTGATCTAACCACACATCAGTGGAGGCAACACCCTCCCTGGGTCCTTTGCTGCCCCCATCTGGCCCCACAGGCCAGGCTGTTATGTTGGAATTCTTTTTTTTTTTTTTTTTTAAGATTCATTTATTTATGCATAAAAGAACTGAGGTGTAGGGCCTCCCTGGTGGCACAGGGGGTTGAGCACCGCACTATAAAGCAGTACACAGCCTCTGTAGCACAAGTTCGATCCCCAGCCGGCCAGGGAGCAACCCACATGGCGCAGCAGACCTCTCCTGGCTCGCCCGCTGCTCTCCTCAGCAGTGTGTTTCAGTCAGTCTGCCTGTTCTGTTCCCCACTCTGTCTCTGGTGAATCCTCTCCCCCCACATCTCCGGCCTATACCCCAGCTCTTGTATGCATAAATAAATAAATCTTTAAAAAATAAATAAATAAATAAATAAATAAGAAAGAGATTCTCCACAGCCATGGATGCACAAATGTCCAAGGGGATATTGGGAAAGTACTTTATACCCCTGCCTGAAAATGTCAGTGGCATCCCATCCCCATCGTGGGAAATGCCTCTCAAGTTTCTAAAACACCTTCTGTGGGGTGTTACCACCCCATTGGGAGCCAGTATTCTAGGGGTGCCTAGTCTAGTTGCTTTCGAGGTGGTCTGAGAGGCCCCACTGGATGTCCACTCAGGTAGTGCAGGCGGACAGTTGCTGGTGGGAAGCCAACTCCCCACTATGGGGCCTTTCCTTCTGACCCTGCAGCACGGCCTGGGGCTCCTCACAAAGTGGCATTTACTCCTCCTCCTCTGCTTGCCCAGGGTTTGGACTTTGAGGCCCAGAACCAGTATACCTTATACATTGAAGTGACCAATGAGGTTCCCTTCGTGGTGAAGCTCCCAACCTCCACGGCCACCGTCGTGGTCCTAGTGGACGATGTCAACGAGGCGCCCGAGTTTGTCCCACCCTACAAAGCCTTCGAGGTCCAGGAGGGACTCTCCGTGGGGACGTCCGTCTGCACCTACACCGCGCAGGACCCTGATGAGGGCACGCAGAAGATCAGGTACTCGGGAACGGACTCATGTTCAGCCCACGGTGCTGGCACCGTCACATGGGTAGTCTGTGATGACCAGCACATGCTGTCAGTACCATGAGGATCGTTAAGTATTTTGGCATCACCCCGCACAGGGTCCCTCTTCCTCTCCTCCCCAAGACTGAAGACTGAGCAAAGCCAGGGGCAGGCATTCTGCTCTCTCTCATTTTCCCTGCAGCTTCCTCCCCCACCAACCCTTGCTATCCGAGTTACCGTGTAGGGATGAGATGCATGTTCCACCCCTGCCTAGGCGCCCCCAGTTCCGTCTTCCAGTTGGCACTCGGAGGCTTGGAATGATGACAGAATTCTGTGGTGCTTCCTTTTCAGTTACCACATCCTGAGAGACCCAGCAGGATGGCTAGAGATGGACCCAGACAGTGGGCAGGTCACCGCAGCTGGTGTCTTAGACCGTGAGGATGAGCGGTTTGTGAGGAATAATGTCTATGAAGTTGTGGTCTTGGCCACGGATGATGGTGAGAGCTTCCTTCCAGCCCCTCCACATGGATCCGAGGTCACATGACATAGCATGTTCCCTCCATAGGCAGAGAATGGGTGTGTACGTGTGTGCGTGTGATGCGAAGGGGCTCAGCAAACCAATCTGGAGGGTTAAATGGGTTATTTACAGTAATGTTTTTTAAAGACTGGTCCTAGAGTGGCTGCCCACGATTCCAGAATCCCTAAAAACCCAGGTATTGAGAAATACCTGAAGACTCCTTTCAGCCTGAGTCTTTGGTTCCTTGAGCCCTGAATTGGCCTCCATTTCCCCCTTGGGATTGCTTGAATAGGGCTGCCTAGAAAGTGCCACAACTAATTAGTGATGACACAATCCTGATGATAGGATTGTGGCAGGGGGTGGGGGGGGTGCATGATGTGGTTGTTATTCTCTGCTTGACTTAAAATGAACCAGGCTGGGAGGCAGGTAAGGGGTTATGCAGGGTGATAAAGGGCAGCTTCCTTGAAGCTCAGCAGCAAGCTGTGCTTTAGCTCTAAGTGATTAATACTGGTTTTGCTGTGTAATAGATGGGTAATGAAATGACTGTGCATGAAGTGGCTGCAACTGTGCTGTGATTGGCTAGTAATGTCTGCCGTGGGCACAACAAGAGAACGATGGTGTGCATGCCACAATCTGCCATCACTGGTTTCATCCATAGTGAAGTGAGGCATAGAGGGCCTTACGGCTTCAGCTGGGCAGTGAACAGGACCGTCCTAGGGCCAGCTGGGCTGGTCATAAGGGAACTTAACCTTGATTCATCAAACCAGCCAAGGGCTGACAAGGAGTCATATGTGTAATTATGCACAGGGAGCCCTCCCACCACTGGCACGGGCACCCTCCTGCTAACACTTATCGACATCAACGACCACGGCCCGGTGCCCGAGCCCCTTCAGATCACCATCTGCAACCAAAACCCTGTGCTCCAAGTGCTGAACATCACGGACAAGGACCTATCACCGCACACCTCCCCTTTCCAGGCCCGGCTCACACATGACTCCGACATCTACTGGACAGCAGAGGTCAGCGAGAAAGGTAACAGAATGGCAGTAGGTGGTGACAGCTTGATTGGGTGGGCGTCTCCCCAAAACGTGACCCTACACACATTCCTACCCCACATCTTGTAAGTGATGGGGAGGGGGCGGTGCGAGGTGTCTTCAAGAACATCCGTCAGGTGCTACTTATTATCCTGGTCTACGCCTGTGGATTTGCCAGGAGCCTTTAAAGACCATTGTTCCCCAGCTGCTTTCCCAGGCCCAGGGAGAGCCGGGACGTGATGTCATCTCAGTGTCACACCCGAGTCAGGGCGCCAGGGGAGAGTCCCTCACGGGCACTGAGCTACTGTGCAGTGCTCGCGTAGGTTAGGGTACTTAGTCCTCAAGGCAGCCCCCTGAAGAAGGTACTGTTCTCACAAGCACACGTGTGCACCCCTGGGGTAGAGAGGAGCAAGCCAAGGCTTTCCAGAGCTTAAATAGCTTACAAAGTGCCGGCGCCGGGATGTGAACCCAGGCAGTCCAGGGTGTGATGCTCCATGCCGGCCACGGGCAAGGGGTTTTTCTTTTTCCCTCATCTACTCTCCCTGCCACTCTCTGTGTTCAGCGTTTTGATCCCTGTTTACAGATGGGAATGAGGTTGGGAGAGATTAAACAGCAGAAGCTGGGCACGGAGCCCCAGCTCCCATCCCATCCACCTCTGGCCTTCCCTTCCCAGCCCCCCCGCCCCGCCCCACCCCACTCCCACCGAAGCCGCTCAGTCTTCAGAGTTCCCAGTCCAGGGCCTTACTGGCATCGTGGAACGAAGCAGAGGTGGAGTCAGGGCGCAGTTTCTAGAGAGCAGAAAACAGTACTTGAAGCAAGCGAGACCCGGGGTGCATGCCAAGGTGGATCCAGCCCTCTGGTGCCAGCAAGGCCCCCAGAGACACTGCGTCATTCTGGTTTATGATGCTCCCTTTCCTCTTGTGGCTCCGGTCCCCGGGGAGAGAGGTGGAGAAGCCCTGCATTCAGGCTCTGCCCTGCAAATGCCCAGCGTCCCTCACAGCTGCTGAGCCCAGCCGAGAAAGGGCCCCCAGGCCTGCGGCCTCTACCCCATCGAGTTATGAGTCTTGTGACTTGGTGTGTCTGTCCGGCACTTTGACTTTGGGGAACCCAAGTTGGTCTCCTCCCACCCCCTTGTGGTCTAGAAACCACCTTTTTCTTCCCTGAACACACCCAATACAGGTGCGAGTTCTGGAGCCAGAATGCCTTGGCTCAAGACCTGACTCCTCCTCTTCCTAGTTTTGTGACTGGGCAAGTTACTGAATCCCTCTCGGCCTCAGTTTCCCTCTCTGCAGAATGGCGCCAGGGGTGGCTGCGACAGCAGAGGGAGTGGAAATAGGCAGAGCGTCTTGTCTGGAGAGTGGGTGCCCTCGTCACCTCTGCTGTTTCCCAGTGGCGACCACAGAGGGACTCTGAGGGGGTGCATCATGGGAAGACCCCAGTGATACCAACACCCCATCCCAGTATTGGTGCCTGCTTCTTGCTTTTTACTTAGTTTTCCTGACTTTGCCCCAGTCGTCCAGCAAGATAATCAAAACTCTACCATATTACCTGTGATCTCTGGGGCTCAGTTGGAGGTCAGAGCAGGGCTGGCACATGGCGTCAGTCTAGCTCCCATGACCACCAGTACCACTCCCATCATGAACGGAGAAGGCAGTACTGCGACATAGACCAGGGAGGTGGTGGGGAGACACCCTACATTGGCCCCTTCTCACGTGGACCAAATACCTGTTCTGCAGCGCCCCCTTCTGCCACTGCTGAGGGGGAACAGTGGGTCCTCCCTTCTGATCCTTTTACTAAGGGGCCCAGAGCCTTTGAACTAAAAATGGCTAGAGGTCACTGGGTAGGTGGGCTAGAAAAGTGGGGTTGTTTTTGATGGCCCCCATGTCTGGGGACACTACTGGCATTTGGTAGGGAGAACAGTAACACTTGGGGAGTCCTACGTGCTGTAGAATGGTTCTGCCCACACTGACAGCTCCCTCCTGGAGAAACTAGGGTCTAACTTCAAGGCCTTTCTTCAAAGAGCCTTGACCCTAGATTCCTCACCCACAGCAAGGCCCACCCCACCCCTGTTGCCACCCACTTAGGCCTTTGAAGGCCCAGAGCTCCTTGCAGCCTGGTTTCCAGCATCTGCCCCTGAGCTGGCATGTAGGCTTGGAAGACGTGAGAACAGGGGTTAGCATCTTTCCGCCTAGCTGCACCAGCTGCATCCACAGGTCGTGATGTATTTGGATTTATTAATAATTAGGCACCCTGGGCCTCCCCGGTGGCGCAGCGGTTGAGCGCTGGGTTGCGATGCTGCCCGCAGCCTCTGCAGCGCCGGTTCAATCCCCGGCTGCTCCCCGGCCCCCGGAGGAGGGTCCCACATGGCGCGCAGACCTCTCCTGCCGCCCGCTGCTCCCCTCAGCAGTGTCCTTCGGTCCTTCTGCCTGCTCTGCTCCCCGCTCTGGCTCTGGTGAATTCTCTCACCCTCCCGCGCTTCTGACTGTACCCAGTGCATGTATAAATAAATAAATAAAACAAAATAAACAAATAAATAAAAATAAATCTAAAAAAAAATAATAATAATTAGGCACCCTTAGAAATAGAGGTTCTCCTATCTGAAAATTCTATCATGCAGTTGAGGTATAAACATCATATTGCCAGCCACAAGAGCAGCATGATGTGTTAACAGAGGGCAGTGCACTTCCCACTGGGGGAGCAGGTGACCAGTCACTGTGACTGTTCGGAGCGCAGGGTCGCCCTCTCAGGGAGAACAGCCTTCTTACTGAGCCCAAGATAGCTGAGCAGCCAGCAGTACTGGAAAGTTTGTGGCTCTGCCTGCCTCGACTTTTACAAGTTCATATTAAAAAACTACTATGACTATTGTATTTTTTAGAAATAAAGGGGTGAATTTATTCTTTTAGTTCAATAATCCTTTCCACAGGGCCTCCCCGGTGGCGCAGTGGTTGAGCGCTGGGTTGCGAAGCTGCCCACAGCCTCTGCAGCACCGGTTCGATCCCTGGCCGCCGGGCGAGGGTCCCACATGGCGCGCAGACCTCTCCTGCCGCCCGCTGCTCCCCTCAGCGGTGTATTTCATCACTCTGCCTGCTCTGCTCCCCGCTCTGGCTCTGGTGAATTCTCTCACCCTCCCATGCTTCTGACTGTACCCAGTGCTTGTATAAATAAATAAATAAATCTTAAAAAAATAATAATAATCCTTTCCACAGTGGTGAATTTGATGTTCACTATCTTTGAGTTTTGACACTCGGGTAAGTGTGCTTGGGGAATCTTTCTCCCCGTCTCCTCAAACATCTGTTGTGGTGGACACAGTCCCCACCACTAACAACCTCCCAGGGTGAACAGATTCTCTCTCCCATCCAGGCGACTCTGTGGCCTTGTCCCTGAAGAAGTTCCTGAAGCAAGGCCCATATGACGTGCATCTGTCTCTGTTGGACCATGGCAGCAGGGAGCAGCTGACGGTGATCAGGGCCACTGTGTGCGACTGCCACGGCCATGTGAAGACCTGCCCCGACCGTTGGAAGGGGGGCTTCCTCCTGCCTGTGCTGGGGGCTGTCCTGGCTCTGCTGCGTGAGTCCCAGCACCTTTCCCCACCCCCCGGGATGGGGTAGTTAGAAGACACGGTTCTACCTGGGGACCAAGGGACCACCAGTGTGGCCCCATCTTCCTCAAGCTCGTGGTTCTAGGAGTGTCATTCAGTCAGTGGATAAGGAGCTTCTGGAATGTGCGAGACTTGAGGACATTGTGGTGAGCAAACAGCCTTGGCCCTGGCTCATATCATCTAGAATCCAGAGCAGGGGCTCTGAAGGGGTGGTGGTGTCCTGACTACCCGCACTGGCATTCCTGGGAATTTGTTAGCAAGGCCAGTTCTCAGGTCCCTCCTGACCTATTGATGAGACTCTTGGGGGTGAGAACCAGTCAGTAATCTCTGTCTTCAGAGAGCCTCCCAGGGGTTCTGAGGTTCTGAGGCTTACTGGAGTTTGAGAACCCTGGTCTGATGGGCTGCTGTATTTAGTTAAAAATATTTCCTTTACTCTAGAGATAGAACCTGTTATTTCTTCCACACTTTGAATTGGTGTTTGCACAGAAAGTGCATTCAATCAGATATGAATACTATGGCTTCATCAAAATACTGTGCACCAAGCACTGTTCTGGGAGTCATTATTTTATAAAATAGACCAATTCCTGTCCTTGTGGAACTTACTTTCCAGTGCAGGAAGCAAAAAACAATAATAACTTGTCAGGGAAATAGGTGTTTGCTGTGGAGAAAAAGAAAGTGTGGGAGGGTGGGACGTGAAGATGGGGAAGGAGATCTGCAGTTTTTAAATAAAAAGATGGGCTGGAAAGGACTTGCTGAGAAGGGAATATTTGAATAGACCTGAAAGAGGTGAGGGAGCAAATCATGTAGGCACCCTAGGGAGTGGTGAGTGCAGAGGCCCGAGGCCGTCTGTGTTTGGTGTATGGAAACAGCAATGACTGGAGTGGAGAAGAGATGAAGTCAGAGAGGTGCTGGCTGTGGTGGGACGTCCCGGTGGTCTTTGTGAGCTGTTGTGAGAACTCTGGGCAAAACAGGACATCATCGGATTTGGAGCAGAAGAGTGATGTGAGTTGACTTGACTTTTACAGGACTCCTACTAAATAGGCTGCAGAGGGTAAGAGTGGCAGGGAGACCACTGAGGAGTTGTTGCCGTGGTCTTGGGCACAGATGGTAGGTGGTCGCTCCGACCAGGATGCACTTGGTGGTGAGAGATGGTCCTGTCTTGCGTAGAATCTGTCAGGTTGATCTGTGGTAGGAGGAAGACAGCCAGGAATGAGTCTAAGATCTGAACAAGTAGAAACATGGAGTTTCAGTTTGGGAAAGGGCACGCGGAGAGATTTGCCAGGCAGGTGCATGGAAATACCCGTATGCAGTTAGACACACAAGCTTTGGGTGCCTTTCCCCAGAGCGTGGGAGGAGAGGGCAACAGCGGGGTTGCATCTAGCCCACATGGGGTGTGCATCTTGAGAACCCACTGAGCCCAAAGAAGGTTCAGTCTGTTTTGTCTGCCTGGAGAAACCACGGCTCCGTGAGCAGGCAAGATCCTCTTCCGTTCTACAGCCACAGAGAGTGCCAGGGACACCCTCTTTCTGTGGGATGAACTTGGGGTGGTCCTGGCAGTCAGGGAGAGCAGCCATCATCGGTTGGCCAGTCTCCTTGTCCCTAAAGCCAGTCCCTCCATTCAGGTCGCACCTGATTACTGCACTGTCTTGCCTTTAGCTTAAAATCTAAGGCTAATTTAGGGGACACTTGGGACCGGAGAGTCTTGTTGCAAAATGACATCTGCTGGGAGAGCCCCACCCCAGTAGAGGTGGCTTTCCTTCAGGAGGAGTGACGGGAAAGGACCGGGAACTAGAGGGGTGGGGGTAGAGGCAGAGGGGAGGGGTGTCCCAGTGCTGCCGGGAAGCTGAGCTTGAGCTGAGAGAGCCTGTCTGGGCGGGGTGGGGGGGGTGTCCCTGGTGAGGAAGGAGCCATGGGGAGGTACCTGCAGGTTGGGAACCTGCTGGGTGTTTGTGTGACTCCACCGCAGGGGGCGGGAGGCAGACAGAGCCAGGCAGGCCGAGTCCTGTACCCTTCTGGGAGCTGGGCGTCCTCAGAGGTGCCGGGAAGCAAGGGAGGTGTGCTCAGCCCTGGCTAGAGCAATGTGGCGTAGCGTTAGATGAGGTCCTGAGCGCTGGGGCTGTGCATGGCCGTGTGGTTGAGCGTGGTGGTGAGTATTCACCCTCGCCCTCTCTTCAGTCCTCCTGCTGGTGCTGCTCTTCCTGGTGAGAAAGAAACGGAAGGTCAAGGAACCGCTTCTGCTCCCAGAAGATGACACGCGGGACAACGTCTTCTACTATGGCGAAGAGGGAGGAGGCGAGGAGGACCAGGTCAGGCGTCGGGAGGTCTGGGCATGGGAGGTGGCCGGCCCTGGGCCACTGCAGGGACGTGTGAGTTAGCGGCTCACCATGTCAGCTGTGTTGACTGCACCCTGACCCGAAGCCTCAGGCTTTGTGCACAGCTGACCACGCACTCTGCCCAGGGGGTGTCCGGTCCGTTGCCGGCTCTCTGACCCCAGCCAAGGTCACCTTGAGACTGCACTTAATTTGGGGGAGGGGGTTAGTGTGTGGCGACTGGGGCTTCGGAAATCTCTGGACTTGTCTTCCAAGACCTGCCCGTGAACCGACTATCCAGGTGTTGGGGGGAGGTCGGTGGAAGTTACATGGTGAGACCGTGGTCTGATCCCACGCCCTCCTTCGCTTTCATGAAGGACTATGACATCACCCAGCTCCACCGTGGCCTGGAGGCCCGGCCTGAGGTGATCCTGCGCAATGACGTGGCGCCCACCTTCATCCCCACGCCCGTATACCGCCCGCGCCCCGCCAACCCAGACGAGATCGGGAACTTCATCATTGAGGTGAGCGTGTGCAGCCGCAGGGCCATGTGCTCAAGCACTGGCGGCAGGGGGGTGGCGCCTGGGCTCTGGGTGTTGGCTCTGGGTTCAAGGCCAGCCCCATCACCACCCAGCTGGGTGAGAGTAACTGGGGCTTCTGTTTCCTCCTGCATAGAGCCCTAACTTGCGGTGGGTAAGGATAGGCTAGGCATAAGTTATTTACTTATTTACCTGTGCAACAAATACAGCAGTTACTCAGAGAAAACAGGAGCCTGACGACCTGGGTTGGAAGTTGTGGAGATCCCAGGTGATCCCATTGGGGGACAAAGGCTGGGCCCCTCTGTTGCAGGCTGTAAGGGTGGGATGAGCAGCCCCTGGAACAGGCCGGCATGACCTGGGGAACTTGAACTGCTGCTGCCTCTGACTCACCCCTGAGGCTGAGATTTAGTGGATGGCTGGCTTCAGAATTTTGAAAAGATTCCCACATAATTGAAGTTTGGGATGCACTGGCCGGATCCCTGGCATTTGTTGGGGAGCGATTGCTATTGTTGCTGATAACTGTGAACCCTTACACGCTGGACTTACCTGAAGAATTTTGATTCATACCAGTGCCTCGATCCAGGCATCCAAGTTTTTCAGCTCTGACAGGTCTTTTGCTCTCCAAGGGAATCACTCACACCCTGGGTTGTGAGGGACACCAAAGTGAGTACATAGGAGAAGAGAGGAGCTTAGCACAGCCTGGTACCTTGTCAGCAATCCGTGAACAGGTTTTGAAGAGGAAGGATGGATGCCCGCACAGATTGGTGGATGGATTGGGGGATTTGAGGAAGCTGCCCTGGGCAGAAGGCTCGATGGGCAGTCACAAGTCCTCACCCTGTTCAAGTTCTGCCTGAGCCTTCCTTTCTGCAAAGAGGGAGACCGAACAGCTCACCCTTCTTGCCTTCTAGAATAGCCTGATGGTGAGGCTCTGTTCTTGGGCCTGAGCACGCTGAGAGTGCTGGCAAATCAAATCATTTGGGGGGAGACTGCAGGGGGCAGCTGGTCTGAGAAGATGCCTGTCCCTAAGTGCCCGGAGCTTATTCCTCCAGTTTGATGAAGACACCTTCAGAATGTCTGTGTGCCGGGCAGTTGGCAGATACTGTCTTCCCCCGTTCGCTCCGCAGGGCAGGAACACTGCTGTCATCCTCACTTTACAAGGGGAAAATAGTGTCCCACTCTGCCAGGGACTGCTCTGATAAGCGCTTTACAGTTGTTCCATGTGTTCATTTATTCCTCCAAACCTGAGGACTCCCCATTTCAGAGATGAGGGGGAAATGACAGAGGCTCAGGGACTTGCCCAAGATCACAGAACCAGTGTATGAGGCCTGTGTCAGGGTCCCCGCCTGCGACCACACACCTGTATCCCTCGGGGCACTTGCTGCGGGCCTGCTGGCTCTGCAGAGCATGCCCAGCTGGCCCTGAAACAGCCCATTTACACCTGGATTTTCTTGTAAAAAGGTGAGCGAAACTTAAAGTGTAGATAAATAAGGTAGAGTTCCTTAGTGTTTTCTTAATTATATTTTCTTTTCTCTAGCTAACTTTATTGTCAGAATATACTAGATAAAACACCACAACACCTGTGGGTTAAGTGACTGCTTATGTTTTTGGTAAGGATTCCGACCACCAGCAGGCTGTGAGTAATCGTTTTCAGGGAGTCAAAAATGGGACGAGAATTTTCAGCTACTGAGGAGGGGTCGAGGCTCCTAACCCCCAACTGTTCAAGGGCCAGCTGTGTAGGCCTGACATTCCTTCAGCCTTCCAAGCCGTACAGGAGGGGAGCGATGGCGTCGCAGATGTGGGCATGCCGGCCCGGCCAGGTGAGCACGCCCACGCCCTGCAGCTCCTAACCACCTGCTCTCTGTCGCCACAGAACCTGAAGGCGGCGAACACAGACCCCACTGCCCCCCCTTACGACTCCCTGTTGGTGTTTGACTATGAGGGCAGTGGCTCGGACGCCGCCTCCCTGAGCTCCCTCACCTCCTCGGACCAGGACCAGGACCAGGACTATGACTACCTGAGCGAGTGGGGCAGCCGCTTCAAGAAGCTGGCCGACATGTATGGCGGCGGCGAGGATGACTAGGCCTCCCGTCAGCAGGGCCAGGAACCGGACGTCAGGCCACGGCCACAGCTCCCAGGTGTCCCAGTCCCACCTCAGCCAAGGACTTTGGAGCTGGTCGAGAGCGGCTATAGCAGCTCGGAGGGGAGAGACCTGAGTCCGACATTGAGGGGTTGGTTTCTGAGCCTTTGGGAACAGAGCCACGTGGGCAGTTTGCTTTCAACACTAAAAACCTCTCAGCTCAAGCCGGGGTTGCCCCGGAAGCCGAATTTCTGAAACTCTCATCTGCCATAGAATGTGCTGCGCCGTCTCCTGGGCCCAGACTGATTTTGACCCTCCTCGTGGTGACATTCTTCTGGAATGGACCCTTCTCCTTAGAAAAAGGTCTTGTTGTAACCTGGTTTTTTTGGTTTTTTTTTTTTTTTTTGTTTTTTTTAATTTTTAAAAAGTTAGAGGCAGGTCCTCAGCCATCCCCTGGAGTCCTCTGGAAGCCCAGCCTGGACCTGCTGTGTGTGGAGCCCTCGCCACTCATCCCCAGGCCCGAGGCCTCATGTTCAAATGGGTTACAGCGTTTTTATACTAAGTGTGTCTAGTTTGTTCTTTTTTATTTTCCCTTTCAAGTGTAGATGAAGAGTGATGACAATCGTGTAAATGTGCTAGAACCTTTTTTATTAAAGGAACTTTTCCCAGAGGTGCCAGGGAGTGACCTTTTTGACACAACTCACTGTATCACACAGCCATTTCAGGTGTACACTCAGTGGATTTTAGGGTTTTCAGCTGGACTGGGGGCGTGAGCGCCTTTGCCCTGCCAGCCTCCCCCCAGCTTTCTCCCAGTGGTAGAGGAAGCTCAGGATTCATTTACGACCCAGGTCGGGGCAAACCATCTGCCTCCCCCACAAATTCCCAACTGCTCTTCTGTGTGTGAAGACCGTTAGCCTCCACCCAGGGCCTGAGCCCTCCCCCACGCCCCAGAGCTACCGGCGACATCTTTTCTGGAAGGGTGACCGCTGTCGTGGGTGTGGTACTGGAGAGTTCGAGTCTGTGGGCACAATGTCGAGAGGCAGGGGTAGGGGCTCCGACTCTGCTATTTCCCAGCAAGTCTCTTAACCTCTGCGCTGGCTTCAGTTTTCCATGTATTAAATGGGAGCTTCTCTGGAGACCGAATGACACCTTACATGGTAAGTGCCATTCGTGTTCATTGGTAGCAGTTACCATTTATTCAGGCCTTTGAGGGCCAGATCGCTCTTAACTTGAATGATTTGCAATCACACTGTGAAGGGATTTTCCAACTTTAAAGAATGGCCTCTTTGTATTTTTTTTTTTAAAATGACACCCGATGGGCATCAGAATCAAGCCAGACAGAAAATTAGAGAACTCGCCCAGGATGCTGGTGAAACCGGAACATTCCTAACAGCCCTGGGGCCTGATGTAGGAGTAAGGGCAAAGAGGCAGCAGGGAGAAAACTATTTCATTTTTGCCTTTGCTAGAGTGATGTTTCAATTTCTCTTGACAATGAACCAAAAGAAGGGACTCTGAAGTGAAGCCAAAGGGATTGCTGAAGCTGAACTAAATGTCCTTCCTGTAAGAGTGAGTCTTTCGAGCAGAGGTAGGCAGAGGGCCGCCCCGGCCCCCAGCATCAGCCTCCCTGGCTGCACCAGAGACTGCAGGCAGGACCCGGCAGTGTGTGAGCCTCCCGGACATCCATGCACATGCGCGTGTGAGACCGAGGCGCTCAGGAAGGACTGCAGGTGTCCTGACACCTCGGGGCCCAGATGGAGAAATCAAGAGATGCAAGTAGGGTGAGACACCTCCCCTGTCTTTGGTCTGCAGCACCTGAGCCCACGGTCCAGGCCACCTCCCGCCTCTCACTCTGCGTCTCAGATGCCTCCACCAGAGCCCTGCTCCTCTTGCTGGCGAGGTGGAGGATTACAGGTACTGGAGCCAGCAAACCCCTGCTGCCCCTCATCGCCAGCTCCCCTCTGTGGACCTGAAGCAAGCCTGAAGCCCTGCCTGTGCAACTGAGACTCGTAATAAAACCAAATAGCCACTCGCAAGGGGTTAAGCACAGCACTATGAAGCTATCCACAGCCTCTGCAACACGAGTTCAATCCCCAGCCAGGGAGACGACCCACATGGTGCAGTAGACCTCTTCTGTCTTGCCCGCTGCTCCCTTCAGCAGTCAGTCTGTCTGTTCTGTTCCCCACTCTGTCTCTGGTGAATCCTGTCACCCCCCACCCGCCGCACCTCTGGCCTGTACCCCAGTTCTTGTATGCATAAATAAATAAATCTAAAAAAAAAAAAAAAAGACCAAACAGCCACTGTTGAGGCTGGTCTGGCTCACCTGAGATTTTAAAGGGAGTTGAGGAGGAAAAGCTAGCGGCCTTTCCTAGCCATGCTGGGTCTCTGTTGAATCTAGATTCCTTTGGCGGTGGAACCAGTCACCTCTGAGTGATCTCGAAAGAACAGCCTGGGCTCTGATGGGGACAAGTGGTACGTCACTCCCTCACTCTCCTCCTCTGCAAATGGGACCGCAGGATTCTTGCCTAGAATAAAAAATCAAAGTAATCGCAGCTCGTAAGCCACCAGCACTAACCACTCAGTGGGTGCTGTTCTAAAGTAACCAATGAGACAGACTTAGCAAAGGGGACCCTCTGAATGGTTTCTTGGGTCCGCAAATGTTGATTCTTCACATTTTATGGTTTAACAGTTTGGTGTGTGTCCTTCCAGTGTAACCCCCCCTCCCCAGAAACCCCACCCCTACCTCGTGAAACACATTCTTTTTTTTTTTTTTTAATTTTTTTTAAGAACTTTTTTTTTTTTTTTCTAGATTTATTTATTTATACAAGCACCGAGGCACAGTTGGAAGTTCGGGAGGGTGAGAGAATTCACCAGAGCCAGAGAGGGGAACAGAACAGGCAGACTGACGAAATACACTGCTGAGGGGAGCAGCAGGCGCAGCGGGAGAGGTCTGCGCGCCATGTGGGACCCTCGCCAGTGGCCGGGATCGAACCAGCGCTGCAGAGGCTGAGGGCAGCTTTGCAGCCCAGCGCTCAACCGCTGCGCCACCAGGGGAGGCCCTGAAACACATTCTTAGCATTATACCTTTTTAACAGGACACATGAGGCTGCCTTACGTTCTCCAACACATGCTGTTCAAGCATTAGCGTTTATGGGATCTCGCTGTCATCCGTGGGCGCTAGTAATTCTAGCTTTTTGCTCTTAACAGTGTTGAACTCCCCAGGCTTCATCTCTGCAGGCACTTCAAAGCCAATCCCCCAGCTGGCGAGACTGACCGAGGGAAAACTGGTCTTAGTTGGGGTCCAGAGTTCTCAGTTCCAGGCAGAGAGATCAGTCTAGGATGACTGGTTGCTGGAAGGACCCCCATCACTCTATTAAGTAACTCCCTACTCCTGCTTTTAAAAGCCAAAGTCTCAGCACCCCAGTCCAAAATAAGGATAAAATGAAATTCTGTTGGAAGAAAGGGTTGGGTGCCCACCTCTGTGGCCTCGTCCTGATGTTTCTCCCTAAGTCCCAAACGCAGAGCTCTACAAGTGACTCCCAATCTGGCCTGTCTCTGTTCAGGGGAAAATAGGGCTTAAAGCAGGCCAGACCCCCAGGCCTCATCTCACACCATACCTTTTCCCTCAGTGCTGACCCGATACTCCTATTCCTGCCAAAGAGCCTGCAGATAGCAACTGTCTTCCCTGGTGAGCTTTGCCCAGGCCCTTGAGGGCCCTGAGAAGTGGATGAGCAACTGAGGCCCCAAATTCTTGGCCTCCTGGACTTAACCAGGAACCCTCACAGGGCCACCGCAAGCAGACCTGGGCAGGGGAATGCTGAGGGATGGCCTGCCTGGGAGGGGCCCTGAGGTCAGCCAGGCCAGAGCACTGCCTTGGGAAGGGTGAGAGTGGCCACCTTGGGAGCCACTGGCAGCCCACACCCTGGATATCCAGTTCCAAACTGGGGAGCTCCACAGGGCCAGCTCCCTTCTGGCTGCAGCAGTCATCTTCCCACCTCCCACTAGATAACCTAAGGAGGCATAGTTTAGAGCATCAGCTCAGATCCCAGCACTTCCAGGCATACTATCGTAGACAAATCACTTAACCTTTCTGCACCTCCTTTTTCTCATCTGTAAAATGGAGGAGTAAATGGTTTAATGTTTGTAAAGTGCTTATTAGGGTGCCTGACATACAAATGCTGCCTGCACCTTATTGTTACCACTGTGGTGGGTTTTGAGGGGATAGCAGGGCCAATGATGGCTCCTTCTCCACACTCACACCCTGGCTGGGAAATGCACTTCCCAGGTGGAGTCCGACGCTCCCCGAAGGCAGCAGCCGCTTCAGAGACAGGCGCTGATTTCCCCAGTGGCCCTTCCTCTCGCGGCCAGCAGAGGGCACCAGTCAGCTGACCCACGGCAGAGCGGGTGCGGCTCCCCTCTTGGGCTCCCCACCAGGGGGAGTCTGCGGGCAGGAAGGGCCACCATGGGCGCCTGGTACTGCGTGTGAGGCTGTGGCGTGCCAGGAGCTGCCCTGGACACTTTGACGGTGACAGTGATGGCCGTGGCAGTCGTGTACACTGAGCAGTGACTGGCCCTTCACGTGCCTGGAGTCAGCTACGTGTTTTCTCCCACCTCACCACCTGGGGAGAGAGGTTTTATGGTTACCCCCCTTTTTAAAAAAAAAAAGATTTATTTATGCAAACAAGAGCTGGGGTTACAGGTCAGAGATGCTGGGGTGGGTGGGTGAGAGGATTCACCAGAGACAGAGTGGGGAACAGAACAGACAGACTGACTGAAATACACTGCTGAGGGAGCAGCAGGTGAGACAGGAGAGGTCTGCTGCGCCATGTGGGTTGCTCCCTGGCTGGCCAGGGATTGGCCAGGAATTGCTGCAGAGATTGCTTCATAGTGCGTGCTTAACCCCTTGCGCCACCAGGGAGGCCCTCGTTCCCCTTTTTAAAGGAAATCAAGGGTCAGCTACTAACTTATACACAGCAAAGAAGTGGTAGAGAGTTTTGGGATCAAGGTCCCTTTGATTTCCAAGTATAGACTCCTAACTGTGAAGAATAAGAAACTCCAGCTCTGGTGATGATGTGGGGGCCAGCAAGCAGGCGTGGAAGAGGCTCCTCAGGACATAGGGGTATCCCCACCCCACAGAAATGGCCCTACCTGAACCTGAGATGCTAAGGCCCTGATACACAAGAGCCACAGCATTTCTAGCCACTTCTGTTCCCCCTGCCTCCCCTTAGTAAGTGGGGTTTTACCCTAGGGCTTTTTTTTTAAGACTTAATTATGCATACAAGAACTGGGGTGCAGGCCAGTGGTGTGGGGAGGGAATGCCAGCGAATCAGGAGAGGTCTGCTGCACCATGTGGGTAGCTCCCTGGCTGGGGATTGAACTCATGCTGCCATGGCTGCTGATAGCTTCACAGTGCTGAGACAACGCCTTGTGCCACTGGGAGGGCCCCACCCCACCCCAGGGCTTTTCTAAGTCTTTCATTTAGCAACTATTGACTGAGCAGGTGTTCTGCACCAGGCACTGTTTTAGTGGTGGGAGATAGAGATGCAGAAAATAGCTCAAAATTCCAACCCTGATCTTTGGGGGGATCAGGGCAAAAATGTGTGCAGGGTCCATATACCCTACGTGTCAAGGTTATAAACTTAAAGCTACTCTGATCTTCCTACTTAAACAAGCACGTCTTAGCTGTGACCTGTAAGACCAGGTTCTCATCCAGATTCCCAGACAACTGGAGCACTGGGCCAGAGTGTGGCTGTGCCCCAGTTCGCCCCAGCCCAGGAGCAGCGGCCAGTCCACTCCTGCCCCACCCCAGGCTCCATCCTGTGCCATGAGGTTCTTGGAGGGGTGCGGGGGTGTACACATACCTCCACCCACACGTTGAAGCTCCACCCACTGGTCAACAGCCTTCCAAAGCCCAGCCCTTGCCTCCCAGCGTAGACCTTACAGCAAGCGCTGTGCTGTTTGCCCTCAGGCAGACCTGGGAGGCCCAGGGGCTGAGGCCAGGGAGGGAGATATTGGTGGTTGCCAAGTCACAACTCCTTAGCGCCCCGAGAGGGGAGCCCGGCAAAGGTCCTTCCTGCCCAGGCTGAGGCCATCTTGCTGACTGGCCATGGGAGGCAGACAGTGAATGAGACAAAGCACTCAGATACATGGTGCAGTGAAAGGTGCAGCTGGGATGGGGTACAGGAAGCAGGGCTGGGGTGGGAACTCGGTTCTAGCAGTCAGGGGTGGCCTTGCTGAGCAAGGACTGGAGGCTGCTGGGGAACAAGTGTTCAGGTCTCACAACTAGGTGGAGGGAGCAAATGCACAGGCCCTGAGGCAGGAGTGTGATGGCAAGGAGGCCAGCATGGAGGCCAGCGTGGCTGGAGCGGAGAGAGGGCGAGCACAGCACCAGCCCAGGCAGCTAAGAACCAGGGCTCCTGTTCTGGGCCACACGGGCTCCTCCACGCCCCAGCTGAGCCTGAGCTCAGGGCAAGGCCGGGTCCCAGAGGGCTTGGGAAAAGGCCTGACTCAGCAGCCTCGGCTCATCCCGTAGCTGGAGAAACCTGATTCCTCCTCTGCTCCATCCTCAGCCTCTGAGGAGGGAAACTGCAGGGACCTGTCAGGGCCTGCGGCAGCTGCAGAGCAGGAGCTGCAGGATTCTTCTCTCGGGGCCCCTGCGCTGAAGGGGGAGCAGGGCAGAGGCACCCCAGTTCTGGTGGGGCAGAGCGGTGGTAAGACCGCAGCCCCTGGAGGTCTCAGACATGTGTGGCCCGCCAGCCTGGCCTCCCCCAGCCTCGGTGTCCTCCAGACGGCACCACCCTTAAAGGGCACCACCCTCAAAGGGCAGAAGGAGAACGCTGTGGGGTGCTGTTTGAAAAGCACTCAGAGCAGTTGGGGTCCAATAAAGTAACCGATACTGTTGTTGCTTGTCGCTAGGTCTTCTCCAAGTGAGGGGTGGGCCGGGAGCCGCCCTGCATTCCTGTGCCCACTGCCCAGCCAGCTGCAGGGGTGTGGCGGCCTGGGAGGAATGTGAGGGCTGGATGCCAGTCTCCCTGTCCCCTCGTCTTCCTGTAAACCAGGGCCAGCTGATAGGGTGAGCCTGGCCTCCGGGTGTCACCACCTGACAACCAAGGCCTTCTGGGGAGACAGTGCTCGGTGGTTGCAGGAATCACTGTCGTCACGGCTTCTGCGACCGCCCCTGCAGTATGCTAAAGCGTCACTCTGAGTCAAAACCAACATTTGAAAAGGTCCCCCAGGCTGGAGGGGATCTGAGACTTATC